AAGAGATGGCCCCTTTAATCAAAAAAGAAAAAAAAAATCAAACTAGGAGGGGAAGATCCTCATGGTTGCTGGCCACAGGAGAAACGGTTACTCTGAGCCAGGTGGGCCCAAAAAATAACCATCAGGTGGTGCTTGGGTAGGGACTTTCTACCACTTAATAGCTTTGTGAGCCTAAACAAGTCACTTGATCTCTTTGGGTCTCCATTTCTTATCTGTTTGTTAATGGAGTGGATTATATGATTTATAGGGTCCCTTCCAGCTCTAAGTTTATGATCCTGTAAACTGATTGGTAAATTGGGATATGCTTGTACTAAATATTGTTCTTGACACTTCCATCCATTTGTGGTAGGAAGCTTGCATTCTCTTGATTATTTTCCTGGTGGTAAAATGAACTATTTATGTTTATGAAACTTTTAAGATATTTGCATGAATACTTTTTGGGCACAAGGGGTTTTTAGGGCTATGACTGAGATTTTATACCATTATCATTCTTAATTGTAGTTCATATGGAATTGTAATGGTTTATGTTGATGACTTTGTTATTAGTTCCAGGGCAAAAAGACCATTCTGTAGCTTTAAGTCCCCTGTGGAATCCGTGAACTCCCTTATCTTGAGTGTTTTAAAGTTTAAATTCGTTTTAGGAATTCTTTTTCTCTTTTCATCTATACTATTCATCAGCCTGAGTATTTTTATGTTAAGTATTTGAGAAATATAATATCTGTGTAAACTAGTTCCTTCCTATCTGTAACATAGTTAAAGGCAGTTTATCTAGCAAGAGGAACTGTGGTATTTTTATGTGAGTGATTTCTAAAGCTAACTGCCCTGTGTCTGTTGATGATATTAAACTCTGATCTCTCTAGTTATACCCACCTCCCTTGATCTACTCGAACCATGTGGACTGTTGGTAGGAGATAACATTTTCTGTTTTCTGCTTAGCAGCCTTTTTTTGTGCCTAGGCAATTGCATGTGTTCCATTTGGCAAACATGCCTCTTGCTGTTGTTTATTAATTGCTCACAATATGCTAGTCATGAAACACAATATTCAAGGCTATAGAGCATGGGCTTATTATGAGGAGCTCAGAAAAAAAATAAGAGCAAGTACAGTTCTTGCTCTTTTCTAAATAATGTCTCCAAGCTGTAAAGAAGTTCAGCGGTGTGTAACTGGACTGTTCTGTGAATGAACATCCTTTTATTCCCCTAATTTGGATAGGTTTCCTAAAAAAGGTGAATTTTTGGACAGAGGTGAACTGTAGGAGACAGTAGCTTAGACCCAGGATTCCAAGTGTCAGATTGTTTTAGTCATAAGGAAAATTCAGTCAGTAATTATGAATGTATGAGATGCATTGAACTGAAGTAAGAAAGCTTGAGTAAAGACAGATGGAAATGAGAATGAGAAAGATGTGAAATGAAATTTTTTTGTAGGAAAGTAGAGAAATTTAAAAATGACAAAGTCAGACGATCTGATGATGATGCTAGAAGCAAAGATAATAATTAGTATATAGTACAAAAAGTCAAAGGAGTAAATGTGGTTGACAGATTTTGGCAAGATCACTTTGGACAGATGGAAGGGGATGAGACCCTGGAAATGAGAAAACCAACATTAAAAAGATTATAATAATCCATGTATGATCTTGAAGGGCTAGAGAACTTCAGAAATCCTCTCTTACAACCCCTTCATTTTACATATGAGAAAACTGAGACTAGAGAAGCAAAGGGATTTTTCCAAGATTGCAAAATGCTTTAGTATGAAATCTTAGGTGTATAGACAAAGAAATGGGTTTTTCTTGGTTTATGAGAAGAGTGAGACATTTACAGTGATTTTACATAAACACGAACTATAGAATGTTATAAACATGAATATTTCCATATACAAAGAAGTCCAGAAATTGGGGATTATATATGAAATTGTGAATCTATTACATAGTGCGATAGAGCCATTATTGCCTGGTTACCTGTATCCTCCTCTGAACTTTCTTTCTTACCTGTATCCTCCTCTGAACTTTCTTTTATTCTCTTCCATATTTTTTTTTTTTTGGTGAGGCAGTGGGGTGAAGTGACTTGCCCAGGGTCACACAGCTAAGTGTCAAGTGTCTGAGGCCAAATTTGAATTCAGGTCTTCCTGAATCCAGGGCCAGTGCTCTATCCACTATGCCATCTGGCAGCTCCCTCTTCTATGTTTTTAAACGATTCATTGACGTGTTTTTAGAAATACTTTTTCATCATGTTTGGAAAACTGGGTGCAAAGGACTTCAGATTAAAAAATATGCTGGGCGTTTTGCAATTCTTAGGTTTAGTCATTGTACAGTGTTAATTTTGGCTTCTTGCTAAAAATGAAACCTTTGAAGTTGAAACTACAAAGGGCATCCTGAAGAAATAAATATGCTAATCAAAACCATAGGAACAGATGATATAGTTCATGGAAGTGTAATATAGGGAAAAATAGCATAAGATCAATTGACCAAGATAGGATTTTTATCACTCCAAAATCAATCTGTGCTGATCCCAAGTATACTTGAAGGCAGTAGATTACCAGGATTGTGGTTTCGTACCTGTCTTATACAGAAGCCTGTCTTACTATCCTTTTGACCCCTTTTCTTTACACTCTAGAATCCTCACAGACTTGAATTCTGTAGAAGAGCTCACCAGAGACTTCCTAAGCCTTAAACCATAAGCAGAGACTTCAGAGGCTTTCCCATAACTCTTGGGGCTGTTACAACTTTTGAAAGAGCTAAAAATAAACCCTTTCATAAGCAAGATATCTGAGATAAATCATCCTCCCCAGATCTAGGCTATGCTCCCCAGTCTAGCCTTGCACTAGAATGTACTTGTTCTTGTAACATAGATCAGGCTAGATTAAAAGCGTGAAAATTAATTCTGTTGGATATAAAAAAAAATCAAGCTAGAGACAGCTGAGCGATCATATATAATTAGATGATGTTCTCAAGGATGAAATTTGTAGAGTAGGAGTAAGTTAGCTGTAAAAATTGAATGAATGTTTTGATTGTTTATTTTTTTTGAATAGAAGAGATCTGAATATGTTGAAATATAGAAAAGAGGGGGTCAAAAGTTTTGGAAAGTTTTTCTTCTTTGCTCTTTCAGGAGGTGAATAGCTGGTTACCTAGTTAGTATTGAAAAACAAAATTTGGTTTTCTTGACTATAGTTTATGCTGCCAGAATGTTGGGTTCCTGACAAGGGCTGGAATATATTTAATAAGAACTGGGAAAAGCATATTTGACAGAAGACTCACTGATCTGGTCAAATGAACTTTAAATAAAAATTGGGGGGAGAAGCAGAAAGAAATGTTAAGAAAAAACTGTTATGTCAGATAGTACCAGAGGGCAACAGGTATGACAGTGAAAGAACAGTAGTAGAGGAGATAGCCAGTTTAATTCACAGGAGAAAATAGCAGGAAAGAGAATTGAGACTGATGCTTAGAGCTCCATATTAATGCATGTATTGTTGTTCAGTTGTTTCAGTGGTGTCCAACTCTTCATGACACCATATGAGTTTTTTTGGGTGGGGCAAAGATACTGAAGTGGTTTGCTGTGTCCTTCTCCAGCTCATTTTACAGGCGACGAAACTGAGGCAAACAGGGTTAAGTGATTTACCTAGGGTCACACAGCTAGTAAGTGTCTGAGGCCAGACTTAAACTCAGGAAGTGGGGTTTTCCTGACTCCGGGGCCAGCACTCTCTATCCACTGTGCCACCTAGCTGCCCTATATTAATGTGTAGTGTGGAGATAATCTGTGTCTATATATCTGTAAGTATATAGACATATAGACACATAGATCTATCAATAAATGAGGAACAATGAAAGAATGTACTTTGGTCAGGAGCATATATAATATAAAGACAAATGTACAACACTGACTGTCAAGAAGAGTTGTGTGGAAATCTACTAACCTGAGGGTTGAACCCTAGTTGTGAATCATTAGGTGAGAATAGAGAGGAATAGAAGGGATGTTTTTGTGGATGTCACCTGTATGCTCCCTTGACTTCAACATTTACATGGAGAGTATTTACGATACTTTTCTAATACATAATATAAAACTTGTACAAAGGAAATATTTTGTGATAGGAGACTTCAGTTTTCCCAACAATTACTGGGCATCTCATTCTACTAAAAACAGCTTCTGTAATACAGTGTTGACTTTCCTTGTTGACAGTTTTGTTTTACTAAAAAAAAAAAAAAGAATTCATAAGGGAAACTATACTTTGGACCTAATTTTAAAAACCATGGGAAATAGTGGCTGTGCCATCTAATGTATGAAGCCATTAAGAGAATTTGGGGCAAAGTAAAATGATCTTAAAATCATATATTTAGAGTTGAGAGGGAGTTTAATGGATCATACATGGAGTCATAAATTTAGAATGGAAAGGACTATACATGAAGTTATTTGTCAAAGGTGACACAGATACTAGACTAGTATTTGGCACAGGCAGATTTTAATTTTAAATCCAGCCTATACTTTAAGAAATTGGATTTCAGAATTTGCAAAGAAGAGATAAATATGATCCCAGTGTTGACAGCTGTAGTAGGGGAATGTGTTCCAAAGAGGTGAGAGGTTCTCAAATAAGAAATTCTGAGAATATAATCACTCACACACACACACAAACAAACAAACAACCAAAGAGAAAGCAGAGGGGAAGGAATCTAATGAAACCCATGTGGCTGCTCAGAACACTCTTTGATGAATGCAGATATGGAAGGAACTTTCACAAAATGGCTTTTGTGAAAGGAGGACCCATACCATAGGACTGATTTAAACATGGCACAAAGCCTGTGAGAAGAGACTGTGGAAGGCTAAATCCAGAACATGTCGAGGCTTACAAAAAATTCCGAGGACAATTAAAGGGGCTTTAAGAACTATGCTCAGAACGAGCAAAACAAACAAGGATGGGACAGGCCTGTGGTTTGGGGCAGATGTTATGATGTTAACAGGTGACAGAGAAAGCAGAGCTGCTTAACTCCCATTTTGCTTCTGTCTTCTATATTAAGGATAATGATCTGCAAACTGGAAAGATAGAACAGACATGATTAAGAAGAAGTTGATGCTCAAGATAGGTGAGGATATAGTAAGAGAGCACCTAGCTGCCTTAAGTGATTCTCCAAGCTCAGGCGAATCACATCCCAGGAAACTGAAAGAGGACTGGCAGATGTGATGGTGGAACCATTATCAGAAATCTTTGAGGAATCATGAACACTGGAGGAAGTGCCAAAAGACTGGAGGTGGGTGAATGTTGTGTAGATATTCAAAATTTGGGAAAGGGTGAATTCTAGAACCTAGACTGCTGAACTTGACATTGATCCCTGGCAAAGTTCTAGAATGGATTATTAAGCAGAAGGTTTATAACCACTTAGAAAAGGAAAATAATGATCTTTAGGAATGAGTATTGTCAGGGCCAGAGTATCACACAATTTAAAGCAAGAGGGGACTTCAGCAGAAACATGTTCCAAATGTCTCATTTTATAAATGAAGAAACTGAGACCCAGAAAGTGAAGTGATTTGCCTAGGATTACACATAATAAGTAACTCGGGCCAATTAGCCTCATTTTATTTTTTGTTAGAATTAATTGTCTAGTAAATTGAGACTAATGTAGAAATGGTATATCTTGAGTTCATCCCGACGTTTGACCAACTTTCTCAAGATATCCTTATCCACAAGTTTAAGAAATATGAGCTGGAGGAGCAGCTAAGTAGCCCAGTGGGTAGATGGAGCACCAGGCCTGGCATCAGGAGGACTTGAGCTCAAATCCAGCCTCAGACAGTTATTAGCTGTGTGACTCTGGGCAAGTCACTTAACCCCAGTTGCCCCCTCAAAAAAAAAAGTATGAGCTGGATGATAGTTACAGATAAGTTGGTTTAAGTGGTTGAAGAACTATTCAAACAGTGTTTGTTAATGGATCGGGGTCATTTTTGAGAGAAAATGAGAGATTGAGAGATAATCTCTTAATGACATTCTCTGAAACTGTATGTGACCTTCTCCTGTCCAGCATGGATTCATAGATTGTTAGAGCTTACAGGGACCTTAGGTATCGTCTAGTACCACCACATGATTTTATAGATGAGGAAATTAAGTCACAGAAAGGTTGAATGTCTCTGTCTAAGGTCATGTAGCAAATTCTAGAGTAGTTGGGATGGTGACCCAGGTCTCCTCACTCTTAGTCTCTTGCTGTTTCCACTACATGTACCATGTTGACTCCCTAACATTTTTTTATTTGTGACTTGGATAAAGAAACAGAAAGCATGCCATTCAAATTTGCTGGATACAGAATTGAGAGAAATTACTAATTTGTTAGAGAAAACACAACCAAAGGATCACAGCACATCTTTTAAAAATCTCATTGAAATAAATGTATAGTTTTGCTCTTAGCTTCAAAAGATCAGGTACATGGGTATATGTTGGAATAGATCTGGTTTACAGCAATTCATTTTTTTTTTAAACCTGACAATTTTGATTGACTTAGTAACTATGAGTTAGTAATTTGATGTGGATATAAAAATAGTTCATAGCCTTTTTATTGGTACAGAGAACTAACTCCCTGTGAGAAAACTTCCTCTACCAATGCAGATCAGCAACTGATTTGCAATTTATAGCCTGAGAGACCTTCTGAAGCTCTTAAGTGGTCAGACAACCATTATATATTTGAGATAGGACTTGAACGCAGTTTTTCCTGACTTGGAGCTGGCTCCCATAACCTCCCACCCCTCTCACCCCCCCATCTTAGGCTGCATTAGTAAAATTGTATCATGGCTGGCATGACCACATATGGTATTGTTTAGTCATGGGAACCACATTATAAAAGGAAGATTGACAAGCTGTCCCATGGGCTATTTAGGAGCACAGTATGATGGGTGGAGGGCTCTCTATACCACCAACAGCTTGGGAACTCCATAATCTAGAGGAAGGTGGTCAGAGTGATAAAGAGTCTAGAAAGCACTGGGATTTGATCCTAGGTCCCTAACTCTAAATTAAGCAGTCTTTCCACTGACCTACCTGCCCCAGCCCCATTGAGGAAGGGAATGGAAAAAATTAGAATACAAAATAGCCCTTTTTTCTTAACACCTTGCTAAGTTTAAAATCACAAGATTACAGCCAGGTGGCTTTTAGGAGATAGAATTCTGGGCCTGGAGTCAAGAAGACCTCAAAAATTTGTCCTCAAATTTGACCTCAGACACTTACTAGCTATGTGACCCAGTGCGAGTTGCTTAACCTCTGTTTGCCTCTGTTTCCTCATCTGTAAAACAGAGTTAATAATAGGAGTTCTGCCTCCCAGAGTTGTCATGAGGATCAGACAAGATAATACTTGTAAAGCACTTTGCAAACCTTAAAAGTGCTATCTTAAATGCTAACTGTGGTTATTAGTTGAGCTAATTCGTTAAAACTCAGCAAGTCATTTCGTTGAAACAGTGAATAAAATTGGTTATCAATCATTGTGTAGACCAGCATTTCCCAAAATGTTTTCTGTAGTATCCTTGTGTTTCACTCGATGTGAATAGGTCTGTGATAAAATTTCAGTGTTGCAATATTTTCCTCTCTAAAATATTAAATATGATATTATGTAGTTATACTTTCCTATTTCAGCAGAACCATTATCTTATCAATGAGGCATCTTCTTCAGTGGCTACATATTACAACCTGTCCATGCTTTTTCATACTGTGTAATTTTGCCCATGTTTTCCCACAGGCCTTCTGTAGATTAAATTATTTATGTGTCAGGAATATTTTTTACATGTAGTAATTTTTCATTTTGAAAGTAAGCATAGTTTCTGCTATTTTGATCCAAAATTTCCTTGATTCCTTTATCTTTGCAGTATGCTATTCCCACCTCACATTCCCACAAGTCAGTCATTTTGTAGCCCTTCAGTATATTTCAGGGCCCAAAATGTGCCATGATCAAATTAATTTCCATTCTTCTGTAAGCAAACCACAGTTGTTTGAATGAATCTCTTGTCAGTTGATCAAATTGGTAGTGTTCAGATGTAGTTTGAATTTTCATGCAATAAATTGTAAAATTCAAGTTGTCCATATGATAGAACCCAAAAAGATATTTTGTATCAGGTGCTCATGAAATTGAAATACAATTGATGTTAGAGTTTTTGCCAAAGTTTGGGGCTAGTGAATAGAACAGCTGTCAGCTCTTCAGTGTTGTAGCCATTTTTCTTCAAGCGCACAGGCCACTTTAAAGAAAGTTCAGGGAATTACATTCTAAGAGCAAAAACCCAAAGATACTAGAAGAATGCCAGGGTATGGTTTCTGAGTATTGTAAGGAGCATGCTATTGGAAAAAGCTAGGGCCAGCTTTTTAGGGAAGAGGGCCCAGTTGGGGCTTCAGTTCTATTAATCTGACCAAAATTTTAGGTGATTGAATTTTTAAAACCTGTTGAGAACCATCCTTTGAGTATAATACAAAGGGCAGTAGTCAAACAGTAGAATCCAGGTTATGTTGATGATGTTGAATGTATCAGTCTGCCCCTTTGTTTCTGGATGTGTTTACGCTTATGGAAATCCCAGTGGAACCTTTTCAGCTGGTTTTACTGCCTGTTTAGTTATTACTGCTAATAAAAACCAAATACCTGAGATTTCAATATTTATCTAAAGTTCAGGAGATAGAGTTGGCAGTCTTTTAAAAATATGGATTATGATATGGATTTTTTCCTCTTTCCATTTTGTATAGAAGCTTACACTCTAAGAATACTACTAGTGCTTTGTAGGGACTAAAGTCCAAGTCATTTTGTGCCCTAATGTTAATTATCTTATTATTTACCCGTGAGTTTTTGACTCTTACTATTCATGTAGCAAGGAGGGCGTTAACTCATAAATTGAGTAAAAGGAATAAATATTAAAAAAATAACACCCCCAAAATGTCATCAGGACTAAGATTGTGGCTTCCTGTATGACCAACATTTTGGTGCTTTCATACTTTCTTCAGCAGAACTTATAACATATATCCTATTAAATTACATAGCTTTCCCTTTCTCCCTGTTATGGAATGCTCTATAGTTAGATCTGTTCATAAATTCTTGAATTACTATAAGCAAGTGGCAGATCCTTTGCTGGATCATCTACCATCCTAAATGAATATGACTCTAATCCTGGGCCTCTTTCTCTAAACTTTCACTGTTGGTTATCTGGTTATCTCATTAGCTTTCATGGTTCAATATCTGCATGGGTTTGTGCAAATAACTCTCAAATCTACATAGATAAATAGATATAAGTATATTTCTCTGTATTTACATATCTAGCTGTAATCTCTCTCTTGAGCTCTATTTCAGCATTGCCAACTACCTATTGAACATGGAATATTCAATTTCCTTGGAATATTTTTTCAATGCATCAATCTCAGTATGTCCACAAACAAACTTATCTTTTCCCCCAAACCCATTGTTCAAACAAACTTCCAATTTTCCAATTCCATCATTTCCTTCCATTTACCCAGGTTTACGACTTCAAAGTTACATTGACTTTTCTCACTGCTTCACTATTGTCTCCATTTCAGTTACCAAGTCTATCTCTGAAATCAATCACATGTGACAGAGCCCACTACCTACATCATGCCTTTATCATCTATTATATTAGCCTCCTAATTGAATTGTTGGCTTTCTAGTCCCTTCCTTCTCTGTCCATCTTCAAAATTAATCCAACAGCTAAAAGAATATTCCTAAAACACTAGTCTTACCATATCACTTTCCTGCTTAAAACTCTCCACTGTCTCTCCCTATAGAAAACCTTTGGGCTAGCATTTAAAGCCTACCACAATTTGGATCCCACTTACCTTTCTTTCTTTCTGTCTGTCTGTCTGTCTGTCTGTCTTTCTTTCTGTCTTTCTTTCTTGCAATTTGGGTTAAGTGACTTGCCCAGAGTCATGCAGCTAGTGTTACGTGTCTGAGGCCATATTTGAACACAGGTCCTCCTGACTTCAAGGCTGGTGCTCTATCCACTGCGCCACCTAGGTGCCCCTCCACTTACCTTTCTAGACATTTTGTGTTACTCACATTCACCTACTCTACCTTCTAGCCAGACTGGCCTACCAGTTTTATTTGTTTTTTGTACAGAAGCTTAATTTCATCTATTTGACTCTGTAGTTTTCCTGATCTCCCCCTTTATTCCCACAGGTGTATATCATGCCCATTTCCATCACACCCACCCTTTGGACCAGTATTTTGGGGTTCTGGCAGTTTAGTTCAAAGCCCCGAGTAGTATTCTGAGGCTAATTTATTAATTTGGG